TCTTTTTTTCTAATGGAGATATGGGAAAATTTTTTTTTTTTTTTTTTTTTTTTTTTTTCCTGACAGTTTCTTGACATTTCAAAATATTTTCATTTTAAAGCTGTTTGGATTTTTGGAAAATACCTCCTATATAAAGACAGCATAATATTTTCAGGGTTTCCTCTTGCGAGTCCTTGAGCAATCTGTGACAGATGAGAGTTTTACAAGTCAAGAATATGAATCATTTAAAAACCCCATGAAACAGAATTACTTTTTCTGTATAGCCAGAGGATATTTTGATATGAACAATAATTATAGACTGAGGCAGGCTGGAGTTGCCCCAGAAGGTTTTTCCTTTTTTTCATATTTTTATTTTTATTGGAAGCTGTATTCAGCCATGTGCATTAGCATATTTTTGGCATCTCCCTCTAGTAAATCCAGCCCCACATAAGAGTAATAAGAAATGGTTTCAATCCACTTTTTACCTGATTGCTTCACTTCAGTAGCATTTTTTTTAACCTCATTTGTTTCCTATGGAAATAGTCCTGCTGCGTAGACTGAAGTCAGTGTGTTAAGTCTTAGCCCTCTGGTAAGTTTTGAATATAGTAGGTCAGTTTCAGACACATTACTCTAAGGACTAGAGGTCTTTAAAATGTGAAGTTCTAAAATGTTGCTTGGAAACCAATGGTTTGGTAAAGAAGACAGACTCAAATTTGTGCCCCCTCAAAGGGTGATGTTCATAAAATCCTGCCCTCACCTGTATGGGTGAGTGTGCCTAGCACTAAGCAATTTGTCTGCTTCCAATAGCAATATTTTATCTTGCCCAGATAGCAAGTCAAACAAAACCAGATAAATCATGTGATATGTTTTGGGCTTTTGGAGCACAGTGGGGGGCATTGTAGGGAGTCTCTAGTGGGTGAGACCAGAAGGGTCATATGCTGAGGGTGTTGAGAACACAGATGCTGGTGATGTGAGAAGAGGCTGGGTTGGAGGTCTGACGTGTGAAGGAACCCTGGAGGCACAGTGTTAAACATTAGAAAATTAGTTCAGGGTATTAGAGAGGCTGGGAGAAGGGGAAGATGAGGGTGGCCATTTAGGACATGGAGGATAAGGATTGGGGATTACAGTAAACCAGGCTGCAGTACTTTTTCCCTTGAGTAATCTTATGAAATAGTCTGCTTGGAAAATAAAAGTATGCTTCTAAAATTTAAAATCTTTTAGGAAGTAAAAACAGAGTGTGGACTTAGAACATGCTCTGAAAGCAGTCTGGTTTGTTGTCCTTCACAGACTTACTTGTGTTTACAGTTAAGCTTGCAGTTGACTGTTTTACTGGAAGAGATGAGAAGACACAGCAGCCTCCAGTATTAAGCAGTAAGAAACACTCTGAGCCTATTCTGTAGGCAGCTCAGAGAGGACTGTATTGCTTCTGTAAAGAGAGGCAAAGCGTTCCTTCTGGTGGTTTGGGGTCAACAGAAAGTCCACAGTGCTGTTTAACATTCCACTCATTCAGCCAGGTTCACAGCTCATTGTATCATGTGCTGTGAGGATCTATTCCGACTTTTTTTTTAAATAGGTAACCTTAATACATGAAGGATTAAGTAGGAGAGAAAAATTCACCTTGTTAATTCTGTGTCATATATCATATCAAACAGGATGTTGCTCCAGACACCCCAGTAAATTAGAAGTGCAAATCATGAAGTGGATCCTTGCCCCTGCTGGCTGAATGCCAGTGGCTTGTTCCAAGGGACACAGTCTTTGAAGGTGTTTTGTCTCCAGCCTCTAAGGTTCCCAATCTAAATAGCTGAGGAAATAGCAGACAGCAGCCCCCCTCATTCCCTTTTTCTCTTCCCTTCTCCTGCTCCCCTCCCAAAACCTAATGTAAGGTGAGATTTGGTGTTTTAGTTTCCTTAAAGAAAAATTATGGGAGACTGAAGATCACTTGGCTTTTGGTGTGTGTTTGACATGGAAAACGCTTGGACTCTAGGGGACTAGCACTATGGCTACATCAACACACTAGGGGGAACCAGTAGGAATGGGCCTGAAGAATCAAACAGCTGCTGAATACATTTTAGGGGCTTGGTTTCAGAGTAATCTGTCTGGCAGACTGAATGCCCTTGAGTTGCAGTAGTGCATCTTTCAGTTTAGCTTCACCAGGACAGAACTGAATTTGTGTGCCGGAAGATCAGCACATGGTCTGGGTGGGGACAATTGGAAGGGCCATTCCAAAAGCACACTGCTGACCAGAAATAAAACAATGATGCATCCTGTATTCAATGTCTGTGACCCGTCCATAGGGATGGGAGATCCAGACATCCCAATGGCTTAGATTTATGTGCATTTGCACAGATTTTCCATACCTGCACTCCTGTTTACAGAGAAAATGTTCCTGGCCTTGTGGGCATGACCTTCACAACATAAACTGATATATGACTATGTTTTGAATTAGCAGCCAAACTGGAACAAGAGAACTGAAGAAACCATGAGCTTTTCTCAGCCTGCTCAATAGGGGATTAAAGTAGAAGCCTATTATTACCGCTTGCATGGCAAGACTGTTAACTATTGCATTGCTGCTGGTCACTCTGGTGTTTGTCTCAAAGCCAGCTCATGGATACAGCCCAATCCTTTTTTTTAATTGCTTGGGTTGGTGAAATTTGAGCTGAAAGTTTTGAATGTGGCAATACTTTAATATTGCAGTGAGTCATGAGAACAAAGAATTTATTTGTGTCCTTGAGGTATCAGACAGTGTGTTGTGGTTTGTCAGTAAACATCAGTGCTGGAGTGTTACTTATTTGTCTTGTGAGAACTCCTGAGCATCCCAAGAAGGGGCTATATACAAAAGCAGAACAGAAGGCACTTCTCACCTTGAAGAAGTTTAATCATTGCCATTGTAGTGATCTAGGAAATATCTCAAAATAATTTTATACAACTGTTGGTTTTGAAATGTGTGAAACAGTCTGCTCTCACCACCACTGCCATCACTAAAATTTTGATGCTACCCAATAACCTGAAGGCTTCATCTGTGTCTGAGGAAATAGAGATGATGGAAAAGGCTTTCAAAAGAAAAAGCAAAAATCATGTAGCTCATATGTTTTAATACAATAGGGCATTTTGGTATGCTATTCAAATATCAGTGTAGCCTGAAAGAAGAGATGTCATGTGAAGGAGATACAGCTCCCTTTATCAAAAGGTATCTGTTTTTCTCTTCTTCAATCCACGTACACATTTCTAAGAGTGGCCAACTGAGAAACAGCCTTTGCAGAAGCCAGTAAAAGCTGGATTTTTGGTTATTAGAGTTAACTTTTGTTCATGGTCTCAGGAAATGTTCTAGGAAGCCAACTGATCTTTTCTAAAACAGTTAAAAAACCATGATGGTTGTGTGTCTCATGGCAAAAAAATAGTAGTGAGTATATTCACCCTGCAGCTGCATGAAAACATCCATATGCACCTATGTGACTTTTATGAAAGGCCATAGAGGAACTCCTTGGTTGGAAGGAGGATAGTAAATGTTGACTCTGTTAAAATGTAAATCTTAGTACTTCAATGCATTTGAAGTTTAACCATGGTAAGAAGATAAAAAATATGGGAATTGGAAAAACAAGCCTTTTTGGGTGTTTAAGACATATTGTGTCTTCAGGAGTAGAAATAATGTTTGATTTCTGCTAAGCTTGAACTAACTTATTGCATATACTATATATCAGCTCTGAGCTATGCAGAGGAACATCTAAATTCTGTAACAACTCACCTGAGATGTGCATTTGCCCTCCCTCAAGAGAACTATAGTATTATGAATGTCAGCAGTCTGGCAGAAACATATCCACAATAAAAAATATATGTCAGTGCTCAAAAAAGAGTTCCCTAAGAACATCTTTGTTGCTATTTCAAGGTCTCTGGAATTTTATTCTTTGCAGAAAAGCTGTATGTAAAGAAAATGCACATTGTGGGGGAAAGAAGGGAAACAAAAACATAGTTTTGAATGAAGAAGATAGCATGTTCATTTTTCTTTTTTTTTAAAAGAACTCCTGTTTATTGGCTACTGTGAGACAGATTGAGTATTTGCAGTTACTTACGTGAAAGTTTTCTCTTTCTCTCTTCTATGATTTACTTTTACTGTCTGCTACAGTATGAAGCTTCTTAGATAAATTAACATGGACTGCTGGCAGCTGCCTGTAGAGAAAGTGCTATCTTATAATTACTGCAGTAGCATTTTAGCTGCTACTAGATTTCAATTCTGTCATCATCTCCATATCTGATGTAAAGTAGCTGATGAGAAATGTTTAAACCAGACTTGGAAAAAATCATTTGTGCACACTGATGTTGGGAATTTATCAGGGTTACTAACAATTATCCTTTTCTTATCCATCTGCAGTAGTCTTTTTTCTTTTGCCATTTCCTTATGGGAAGGCAAAATGTGGTTGAAGGCTTTTTATCGAAAGATTCTTCATACACAAATCTTGTAGGGTCCAATTTCCTGTCCATATTTGGCTTTTGACAGTAGTTCCTCTCAAATTTATATAAGTAGGAATATCTTGACCTAATTAGTGATTGAAGTGTAGCTTCAGCTAAACAGCATGTTTTCCTCCTGTGTTTCAGCCTTTGATGTTCTTTCCCAAAAAGGCAATTCGCTATAATCTGAGAAATCTGTTTTTTAAAGCTATTAGCTAATAAACATTTAAACGTTTGTTTAAAAACTTTGCAGGTTGACTTTAGGCTT